TCGAGAGCGCGTGGGACTAGGGGTTCTTTAACTCGACATTGATGCCCAAGAGAGGATCAAGGTCCGTCGTGAACAGCTGCACCCACTGACTCTCGATGATGGGTCCGACACGCTAGAGGCGCTCGAGAAAACATTACTGGTACTCCTTGACCGAGCCGGTCCACTTGGTGGTCGTGAGTTCACACAGCGGATTCAACCACAATGATGGTCCGTAGCAGAGGTTGAGCTTGACAAAGCGGCTCCATGATGGTTTGCCCTCGTCGAACTGGAGGCGGGTGTATTAGAATATGAATAGCCTAGAATTTGTGTAGTTTAGAATGAAGAGTCTTAGTAGTAGAAGAGTCTAGAATGAAGAGTCTTAGTAGTGGAAGAGTCGTGTAACTCCTTTATAAACTCTTGATCAATGAATGGAATAGTGGAGAGAATTCCACTCATATTGTATCAGCTAGGAATCGTTCCTCTCCCTAACCCTTCCTCTCCACTCGTCACCCTCTCCTCTCCATTGTCATGCCCATGGATGATGATACTCAGGCTGCTACTGCTCTGGCTGCAGCTATTGTCGCTGCTCTTCCTCCACGTCCTGCCCCCAGCCTCGCTTCCGCGCTCGCCACAATCAATGTCAAAAATCATATCCCCTTTGCCCTCGAACTTGATGCACCCAACTACTCCACTTGGCGTGAACTCTTCCAAACTCTCGTCAGCAAGTTTGGTGCCTCATCCCACATCGATGGCACCCCGACGCCCGAAAATTCCGATGCCTCCTAGTTGGCAGATGATTGCTCCATCCACTCCTTGATCTACTCCTCGTCATCACCTCGCGTGATGCAGCTGATCATGGACACCGATGCCTCGGCTCCCACCATCTGGACCAAGGCGGCCAACCTCTTCCTCAACAACAAGGCCTCACGCGTGGCCAAGTTTCAGGTGATACCTGGCGCCCTCCCCACAGTGGTCTCTGGCTCCGCTGGTCCTTCAGTGGTCACACCGGACATTGGTCGGGCTGCGTCTTCAGCCACGAGTGGCGGCACAGCGGCTCCGGTCGAGGCGAGTGTGGTGCATGCCCCAGCGGCTAGTCATCAACAACAGCCAGGTCCAGGAGTGGCACCCTGTCCAAGAGTTGGCCCTAAACGCCTTTGTAGCTAGTCCGAGACATCAGTCCGGGGATCCTTTTGGAGGACTGCCCCACTATCGGCCTCCGGTTACGCAGGTATACACTCGTCGGCAGCAACCACCTGTGACATTGCCGGCCATCGCAACACCGCCGGTCTCCGAGGCACCACCCACTGCTCCTCTAGCACTATCACCTGCGCCCTCCGGCTCCACCACAACTATCATCCCAGCTGCTATGCGCTCATCCAAAGCGCCTATTGTGCCTGTCCCTCCCACCATCAACCAGCATGCCATGCAAACCAAGGGCAAGTCTAGCATCAGCCAACCGCAACAACATGACAGGAAGGCATACTGCAATTTGTCCGCGGCTTCCACAGATGTCAACTTGCTTCCAAAAACATATCGTGGTTCTCTTTCTGATCAGAATTAGAAGCGTGCCATGGAGGAATATGGTGCCCTCATTGCTAATCAAACATGGGACCTTGTGCCACCGTCACCACATGCTAATATTATTTCAGAAAAATGGTTGTACCGTGACAAGCACAATGCTGATGGCTCTCTGGCTCGTTGGGTTGTGTGAGGATTTTCTCAACAGCATGGTCTTGATTATGATGAGACATTCTGTCCCGTGGTTAAGCCCACTACCATCCGCACAGTATTGTCGCTTGGCATCTCCGGTGATTGGCCTATTCATCAATTGGATGGCAAAAATCTAGTCCGGCATGGCACACTTAATGAAGTTATTTATTGCCAACAACCTCCTGGGTTTGCTGATCCAGCTCGTCCCAATTATGTGTGTAAGCTCAACAAAGCTCTCTATAGCCTCAAACAAGCCCCACGAGCTTGGTACAGCCGCTTCAAGGTGTTCATCACCTCAATTGGTTTTCGAGCTTCTAAACGTGACAACTCGCTTTTCATCTACACTCATGGGATGGATGTCGCATATCTTCTGTTATGTGGATGACATCATATTGATGGCTTCATCCCACCATCTTCTTCAACATATTATTGGCTCCATGCAGCAAGTATTTGCCATGACTGATCTTGGTAATCTTCATTACTTCTTGGATGTTTCTGCCAAGCGGTCATCCTCAAGTCTATTCCTTTCTCAAGCTAAATATGCTGCTGAAATTTTGGACAAGGCAAATATGTCATCATGCAATCCTTGCCAAACTCCAATTGAGGTTCATTCCAAGTTGTCCGCCCAAGATGGACCACCGGTTGCCGACCCTACTCTACATCGCAGTCTTGCTGGGATGTTACAATACCTGACGCTCACACAGCCGCACATTGCTCATGTCGTACAACAAGTTTGCTTGTATATACATGACCCCCGTGAGTCCCATTTTGCTCTCATCAAACGCATTGTGCGATATATCGAAGGCACCATGGAGTACGGTCTTACTCTCTCTCACAACCGGTCACATGATTTGATCATCTACTCGGATGCCGATTGGGCAGGCTGCCCGAATACCCGCCGCTCTACTTCTGGGTATTGTGTGTTTCTTGGCGATTATCTTATATCATGGTCGTCCAAGCGCCAACACACTGTCTCACGGTCCAGTGCTGCAATGCTGTGGCTGAGGCTTGTTGGATTCACCAACTCTTAGGCGAGCTTCATCGTCCTTTACCACGTGCTACTCTTATCTATTGTGATAACATCAGTGTCGTGTATTTGTCAACAAACCCAGTTCATCACCAAAGGACCAAACACGTGGAAATCGATATCCATTTTGTCCGAGAGCGTGTGGCTCTTGGCGCTGTGCAGGTTCTACATGTTCCTACATCCCTTCAGTATGCCGACATATTTACTAAGGGATTACCAACCGTTGTCTTCCTCAACTTTCGATCCGGTCTCAATGTTCCGATCATCTTCCAGTTGAGACTGCACGAGGGTATTAGAATATGAATAGCCTAGAGAATTTGTGTAGTCTAGAACGAAGAGTCTTAGTAGTAGAAGAGTCTAGAATGAAGAGTCTTAGTAATGGAAGAGTCATGTAACTCCTTTATAAACTCTTGATCAATGAATGGAATAGTGGGGAGAATTCCACTCACATGGTGTACCAAATCTGAGCTGAGCCCTCCAAATTGTAGGAGGCCATATAGACCTCCTCGATGATGCGCTGCTAGAGAAGTATAATTTGGAGGAATTGATGAATGACAACGGGTCACACTCCCCGTCGAACCGCAGGAACTCCATCTTCTAGAACATTGAGGGTTGGTCGTCATGTTGTCCCTGGGCTAGGGAGCGGTAGCCGTCGCGATGTCGGGGGGGGGCTTAGATTCCGATCGTTGAAGGGACGCATGTTGCTTGTTGCAGCTAGCTGATGTCCCGGATGGCCATCTCCATGGACCCGAGTTTGGACACCAGGGTGGCAATCGCCACGTGGAGGTCAGCGGCTTCCGTCGTCTTGCCGTCATCTGTTTTGGGCAGCATGGCGGCAGGTGTAGGAATGCATCATGATTATACCAATATCTTACGGCTAGGCAGGGGAAGCACAGGCGCGGGACCAAACCAGCCAAGATGGTAGGGGTGACCGGTCGATTGCCGAGGCTTTGTGCCTGGCTGCCACAATCTATGGTGGAGGGTTAGGGGTAGAGAAAGAGAGATAGGAAGAAGGATTATTTTATTACTTGATTAACTCATACGTCCCCAAGGGACTTAGCGTGTGTTTGGATCAAGGGCCATGTGGGATGGGTTGGACCTGACCCAGTTTTTTGGGATGAGTTCGACCCATCTCGTGTTTTATTGATAGGAATGGGTCCATTCCAGTGCTCTGTTTGGTTTGAAGGTTAGTAGATGTGGGATGAGATAGCTGACGTGTGGGGTCCATATGTCATCTTCTCCTTTGTTCTCTTCTTCCTTCTTCCTTTGTTCTCTTCTCTACCAGGGTCGTCCTTCGTCGCCGCCACTCCTCCTTCACTCACCCATGGCCTGCTCCTCTGGCTCGACCTGCTTCCCCGGCGGTGGCCTACTCCACCTTGTGACCGCAGCTCGCCGACGGATTGCTGTTCCTCGCGGCTTGCTAGTTCTCCTTCGACGCGGCCTTCTGGGTCTCCTCCGGGCGGCTCGCCAGGCCCCGCACCTAGCCCCGCCTCCGCGCCCAGCGCTTCTTGTCGGCCCCACACCCTGCCCCGCCTCCATACCACTCGCCGGGCATCCAGCGCCGCTCGCCCAGCCCTGTCTCCGCGCCCAGCGTGGCTCGCCGGCCCGCACCAAGCCCCACCTCCCGCCGCTCGCCGGGCACCCCACGCCGTCGCGCCACCACCCAACCCCACCTCGCGTGACTCGCCTCGCCCCTCGCCCGCGTACGCACTGTTCCACTTCATCTGGGTCCGCCCCGGTCCGCCCGATTCGGTGGAATCGGCTCAACCCGCATCTAGCAGGCATATTCCCTCTTGAGCCAACCCAACCCACTCGAACCCCAAACCAAACACTACCAAATCTGGGTCCAACCCATCCCAACCCTGTTGAATCCTCAATCCAAACACACGCTTACATATGTCGGTGGCCAACAAGGTCTCCTAAATTTCTTCCAATCTTACCAAACCAACCGGTTAAGCCGATATCTATCCTTATTAATCTAACTTGCCATATAGCCTGTTGCCGGCTTGCTCTTGTTGTGGCATGACATCTATATATATGGAAATCCATCGATAGAGTTAGGGAAGAGTATAGAAGCTTCACAACGAGGAGCCTGACTATACATATGAGATTGTGGTCTCAATTTATCATTTAAGTAAGAAGCAAAAAGGAAAACCCAGGACCCTACAAGCTCACTGTCTGCCGCATAAATCCTAAAATGGAGCTTATCTCCCTCCCTCCTAGACTTCATTTTACTTCTTAATCATAGGACATGCAATCCTTATGCCATCACCCATCCGCCACCTCATCTGCCTCCGCCAGCTACTTCCTCCACCTTCCGTTTCCAATAAAGCAAGTCCATAAAAGGAAGACGACCAACAGAAAGCATGTCCACCTTAATCATTTGAAAGAAAAAAAAAAGAAAGAGTGGGTACCTTCAGGCGGCTAGACAATTCACTAGAATGCAGTATGTTGGCAAGCTTGGACTGGCCGTAAGCTAATATGCTGTTGTAGCTGTCAACAAAGACAAAGTAGCAACTCACTGTGATTAATGAAAACAAACATTTATTCATTTTCTTGATGAACTGAAGGTTGAAATAAATTCAAATCCGTATGAATCATAAAACGTGTTGAAAGTAATGAACATGCAAAAAGAATGAATGAATCTGTAATTTGAGTGAGAAAACAATACTCAGACTCATCATTGATCTTATCAAAACGAAATCCCTCTCGATATGGGTGCTTGTAGCTGTCTGAAGCAACTATCACAACTCTTCCTTCTATGCTGCTCTCTTTAGCCGTAACTTTTATCTTCTCGAGTAAGAGATCAGTCAATAAAAAATGTCCCGCATAACAGGTTAGATTTACTTTATGAGGCCTTTTTTTTGAAGAATCATGGGCATTAGGTAGTACAAGCAGCAGCTGAACAAATCCAACCAAGTAAGTGAGGATGTCATTGTGTTTTCTAATAATGTCGCAGATAATTACTGTGTGCCTTTACATCACTCAAACTGAAGAAATTAGCTTTTCACGTTGAGATAACAGCATGGACTACAAAAATTTACTTTGTGATATAGACAAAAGACAATCTAAGACATTAGCACCACAAGATAGCCATACCAAGGAGATTTGTTGCAAAATGCAGCTCAATGCCATCCTCCGAAAGCTTGAAAGGAACAAATGCGATCCCTGCATTATTACTTCAAACAAAGTGCGACTAAATCATGCACCTTTTATAGTACAAATAAGTGTATCAGAAAGAGTTGTTTTTAAACATATAATAGAGACTTTAGCTCTAGACATCCTCTAATGAGGATGCATCATACAACAATTTTTATGACGCACTTGCCCCAAAGAACAAACCTCCCTACAATTTGGCCCTTTGTGTGCAGCATGTGATTGTGGCTGAGACGTGCCATAGCAACCGTTAAGTTTGCCATAATGTAGTGACCAACTGGCCATATCAATACAGTGTAGCCACGGCCACGGCCAGTGGTCATTTCTGAAGATTAGTTATGCATTTATACTTACATAAGAATGTTCAGCGGGAGGTCCAGCGCATTAAACTCGTTAACAAATCTTCTCACAGATGACATCGAGCTAAGGTCAACCTCAAGGATCTCAATCTTCGCGGTAGGAACTTGTCTCAGAATATCTTCCCTCACACGCTCAGCAGCAGACGGATTCCTCACCCCCATTATGACGTGCACGCCCCGCAACGCAAGAACCCAGCATGTTTCAGCTCCAATCCCACTAGACGCACCTGTATCTAGGAAGCTTTTCTGTCAAGATGGTCGCCACCAGAATTCAAGAAAGCAGCACAATTTGAGTAGCAGAGCAAGAGCTGGAGCACTGTTAATGTTAAATCCTAGAAAAATATATGCAGCAGTTGAACTGAGGGCCAATCTAAATCCACTGATGCTCTAATACTAGTCAATAATAGACTAAAAATCAAGAATCAGGGGAGTGACAAATCAGGAGTCACAAAACCCAATCAAATAGCAAGGACGGCTACAAGTGGGAAGAGGAAGGCAGCAGTAAGTGACCGGTGACGATAGCGACGAGGCCGGAGCCACAGATGCCGGTGGTGACCTCCTCTGCCGTCGACGACGGCGAGAACCCCGAGGGGCTCCTCCGCCGCTGAAGCAGGCCCAACATGTCGCTCTCCTGCGAAGCAACTCATCTGTCACTGTCTCATCGGATGGCATGGAGAAAGTGAGGGAAAAAAGAGGAATAAAAATATATGCGCTGAAAGAGGGAAAAAAAAAAGACACCCTGTCAATGCAAAATATATTAGTTGCTCTGTCAAAAAAAAGTTATAGTTATAGAATCCACGGCCGTCAAACTAACTTATTTTGATCAAGTTTATAACAAATATTATTAGCATTAATATCTTTAAATAAATTTATTTTAAAAATATATTCTATAACTAATCTAGGTCCGTTTGGATCCTTGGAATTGAATTCTATTCTAATAATCATAATTTAGGTATAAATCAATAAAACTAATATAGTTGTATGTGAAATATATTTGTATACTATTATTTGACACATAAGTGACTTATGTGCTCTACTCCAAACAGGAAAAAATTACAAAAATGACACTCAAAAGATTGACTCCTTGATTATGATGACACTCGGGTGGATGATAACTGGGTCCATCTGTGTCTATGGATGTGGGTCCAGTGTCAAATCTGCAAACGACCGATGTTTCGAGTCCCATTTTTGCAAATCGCGCAACAAAGAGTGTGCTATAAGTTGCAAGGTAGAAATAAAGAATTGAGACATATAGAATTAATTTCTATCACCCACCCCCATGATTTAAAATAAACTTATATTTGAACTTTGAAAAGTTATGGAATATCAAACTCCAAGCCAAATAGCTTAGTCCATTAACTAGATTTCAATTCTTTTAAAATGAAGGGATCCAAACAGCCCCTAAGGGCTCCTTTGGGTACGCTGATACCGCCGGTATCCCCGCCCCATCCGCGGGGGAGCCAAGGCCCGTGGGAGCGGGCACCCTCTCCATTCCACACTACAGTTTGGATATCGCTTGGGCTAAAAAAAGTCCGTGCCTTTTCAGCCCGGTTCGCGTGGAGCCACGAGGGAACAAAAAATCACCTCCTGAGTCGTGCCTCTGTTTCCCCGTCGCCCCTCGCGCTCGCCATCGACATCGACTCGTGCGGCCGCGCAAAGCAAGACATGGCGGCTAGGGTTTGAGCGCCGCCACTCCCAGTCGCGTGCGCCGCGCATCCCCATCTCCCACCATCCCGCGACTCGCTTCGTGCCAGCAGCGCCACACACTCCATCCATCCACCAGGAAGCAGCGCTGCCGCGCACTCCATCCTCTCGCAAGGTAAGCCATGGCGGCTAGGGCTCGAGCTCCTCGTCCGCCTTGTAGGTCCTTCCCCGTTGAGGCACTCGTCGATTTATTTCCCCGTCTCACTTGCTTTCTTCTCGCCCGTCAGGCGTTCACTCCTTCTTCGGTAGAAGGAATCCATGGCGGCTAGGGTTTGATCTGTCCTTTGTTGCTCCCTGCGTCACCAGGCCACTTTAGATCCGTTCGAAGAAGCGCGAGCCCTCCAACCCTCCAAGAAGCGGGAGATCTACAAGGAGAAGTGGATCTGCAGCGGCCGCCCCCGTTCTGTCTCGCCAAGAACGCCCAGGTACCATCGTCCTAGAGCACGTCGTCACTCTCCAGGGCCGTGTCTTCGCCAATTGTCCTGTCGTCCGTCGTCGTGGTGAGTCTCCATGTCCCTTTCCCCTCTGTCTTTCCCAATCTTGGCTCCGTTGTTTCTTGTTAGATCTGTCGTGGAAGAAGTGGATCTGCAACTGCAAAATATTATTTCTTGTTAGATCTGTTCATCTTCATTTCTCTGCACTCCCGTCGAAGAATTGGAGGAGTAGTTGGGGACGACCGACAAGGCGCAGCAGGAGCAACGGGGGAGAAGGGGAAAGGAGAGGTGAGTGCCCGGCTCTGTTCCTGTTCCCGTTCTTGCTTCTTGGACTTGCCTGCTCCTACAGTACTTCGGATTGCACGCTATTCTCTTCTAGACTATTCTGGAATTTTTGATTTCATCGTGGATTACATGCAGTGTAGTATAGGGTGTGCATATTATTTGGTTGAGTTCTGAATCTTTGTTTCTGTAAGTTGTCTGAATTAGCTGCACTCTCCGTTTTCCAGTCAGTTCAAAGCTTCTCTGTATTCCTATCGTTTGTCGGTACAGGTCTGAACTTGTGTGATTATATTTTTTCTTGCAATAGTGTTGCCTGTTCCTCTTAATTCCAGCACGTATTTAGTTCACCTGAGTTTGCTTTTGTTCTAGCTGTAGCAGTATGTCTATCTAAATGTCTTGTATTTGCTCTGTAGTTCGTCAGCCAGTGGTAGTGCATTTGGTTCCTCTTTGTTTGCAGCTTGTGTTTAGTACACTTCAGTTAGTTTTTCCTTGTTCTTTTTCAGCTAGTAGTTAGCTTTTACAGTAGGCACAGTTTCGGACCTTGCTGATCTTTCATCAAGTCATAGTTTGATGGTAGCTTACCGTGATTGCCTCACGGTCAAAGTAATAGATTGTTAACATGTAGCTTATGTGACTTTTTTTTCCAGATTTCTACCACATTATCCTGTGTTCTCAATCAATAATAACTTCTCCTTTCATCTATTTGCAGGGGGAGGAGGGCTTTTTTGTTGTCCTGCTGGTTGTGATGGCTGCAAGTGGACATTTCAGTAGATTTGTACTTGTCTAGTTGTTGATTACCTTGTCAGTTTAACCTGTGTTCATCCTTGGTTGAGGACCGGGCCTTCTCTTGGATCAAGTTAGGCAGTTTTTTTATTACTTTATCAGTGCAAGAGTGTTGTGACAAGTGAATTTGTAGATGACCTTTTTAATATGTAGTACTAGAGAAATTATATCCATGGTACTAATTTTGTGGATTGAAGCAGCATTTTTTAATTCTTTGAATTTTTCTAAATTTACTGATTTTTTTAGTTGGAGGGGATTTTAATCCCCGTGTCTCCCAAATGGTCGTCGGGAATTTTCTCCCGACAGGGGAGTGGGTGTCAAATACAGGGGAGGAATCCCCTGTGGGATTCAAAAGCACGTGCTTTTCTCTCCCTAGCATCCAAAGGAGCCCTAAAGGTATTTATTTTGATCCTGAATGTTCATATTTTTATGAAAATATATTTTACCACCTCGTCTAGGTGTTGTGTTGTAACATGGGTGAGGCAATGCATGTTGAGTTTTAATATTTTACTAGGTGAGTGCCCGTGCGTTGCTACGAGAGACTACTCATTGTGTATACATGCATTATCAGCTAAAAAAATATTGATTCAACCTTACGGTGTTTTTTTACATCATCAAATGTACAAGGCATATATTCATTTAAATAAAGATATATAGATGACATATGCCCTTTTCAAAAGCATTTGTTATCATTTGACATTGAGCAAATCAATTTGTTTAAAATAATGAGATGAGATGGCATTACCATTCTACGAATTTAGACCACAATTAAGCATTCACAGTCTAGTTATTTGATACAAATTAAAGATAATTAAAAAATATCAATTGATTGAATATGCACAAAAAGAGAAGTTTTGCATGAAACCACACCGACAAGATGAGGGTCCGCCTGCCAGCGCTTTGCGTCAGGGTGATGAGCTGTGAGTTGAGCGACTCGGAGGGGAGCGAATGAGGAATGATCCAGCCGGCGACGGAGGCGGTGTTTGTGGCGTTCACTTCCCAGATGCTCAGGGTCAGGCCGTCATTTGAGTGGTTGTTGTCTGTCACTGGCAGCTTGCCGTGTGTCAGGCCAGCAAGGAGGTGCGGCGCAAACAGCACCGCTTGGATGGACGCCGGCCGGTCATCTGAAATGAAAGCTCCATTTCAGCCTATAGTTCAGAGTTCAGAAACATAATTGTTTTTGTTCAGGAAAAGGGAGAAAACTCTCTTAACCTCTACCAAGACGAATCACTACCAAAATGGTGAAATTCTCCTAGTGTTTTTAAGTAGAGTAATAAAACACTACCACTAGTCATAGCACATGAAAATCTCACTAGGAGGCATTTAGTAGAGAAAATTTATACTAAATTTTGAATACCAAAACACTAGGAGAACCCCACCCCACTAGGAGAAATTCAATATTCTAGTTGTGAATACAATCAATGCCAATATTTTTCCAAGCTTTCATACCTTTGATTTCCTCAGTTCTAAGGGTAATGAGGAATTGGAGGTCAAGCTATCATCAGCCCAGAGCTTTGTCACCGTCAGCAAAGCACCTGCAACAAAACAAAACATGAAGCAGGCTGCAGGCATCACATTTTTTTTCTTGAAGGAGCATGAATACTCTCATAGTCCTGAAAGAAATAGTATCAAATTTGATATTTTTAAATCAAGATTTTCATATACCAGTACTTGAGTTGCCAGTGGATGTCAGATTGAGTTTCTGGCTTTTCAGAATTGCCGTTGTGCCATCTGTTGATGTCGGGATCCTTACACTCACCTTTGCTAGTTGGGCATCTCCCTGAACATTTGAAATGTCAAAGAAACAACAATATAATCCTGATCCTTGCAACCAACAATGGAGCCTACAGATCATGGCCGGCCGACAGTTTATTGAGAAGCTACCTTCACAGAAATGGTGAGTGCAACTTTGAAAAAGGGGTCCATTGATAAGCTACCTTTACTGGTGAACTATCATGACAACATATTGTTGGAATGATTTTCCACAACCTTAACATTGATCCTTTGATCCAAACAAATAGAGAAAGCACAGCAGCTTATTTCACCTGATTGGACAACTGACTTGAACTTTGGATGCAATTTCCACTCGGAATGAAACACATAAGACACTTGGGCATCGATTCCTATAACAGAACAAAGAATCTCTTCCAAACTGCATCAGCCAAGGGGAGAGTTCCTTCTGACCGGTTAAGAACAAGCTATAACATATAAATTTTTGGAACAAGGAACTTAGACATACAGAAGTAATCCGATGAAATGTGTAATAATATTCCTTGGAACACGCATCAGCCATTTTCTTCAGGAAACCTCTTCAATTTCTTACACTTGCAGCCTGTCTTGGATCAAAGGAAACTTGCATCAATTTCTTCCACTTGCAAACTACCTCACGGGAAACCAGAATACTAAGGTTCATACAAGTTAAGACCTTTCAAGAGAGTAAGCAGAGGACACCTAAACTTTCTAGGCTATAGTTCAACCAAAGAAGGGGATTGATAAATATGAACTTGCATATAGATATTACCATGACACTTGACACATTGTCCTGAAGGTTTAAGCATCTCTGTCCATTGATGTATTGACACCATATGCTTTCTTCTTTTCTTAATGTCTAATCACTGATTTTTCTTAGGATCCCCATCACCAACAGAATTCTGAAGTCAACAGGTCAACCAAGCTACATCAGAAAACAGTTAGTGGAGTGCACATCGTTATTTTTGGAAAAGTTCATGCTGAAACACACATTTGATTATCAACTGCTACATGACACTATGAAAGGGTAAAAAAGTACTAAAAATGCCATAATTTTCAAATAACAAAAAACACAGGTCCATTGCACTTCCAAAAATTTCTGGGAAACTAATTTTACGCTTAGACCTTAGGTATGTAGGAGAGGTACATATAAACGTAAAAATTTGACAATTCAAGCCTCAAGCCTAGATATTTTTACCAGACATGCAGGAGATAGATATCTTTATATTAGGCTTGATATAAGCAGCGTTAATTCTATCAGCATCTCAGCAATATGTCGCCGAGTTTCGGTGTTATTGGTGAGGTCCTATAAACTATAAATACCAATATATCAGACATATATTTAAAATATTTTATGTCAGACTTTTTTTGGCACATTTTCAGTGAAATTTCATCCATAAATTTGAATTTAACGGCTGATAAAATACCAATTATCAGATATAATGAGACTTATTGGCTCTATCAGCTGGCAACCATGTTTATGCATAGATGGAAGGACATATTCTAAAACACAATAACTGAAGCCCTGGTATACCTGCAGAATAATTGCTACTGTGACAGTCTAGCTGAACCATGATTGGAGATAATACTGTCGCCGGCAATATTACACATATGCTAGACATACCATTAAGTAGAATGGAGATATACAGAATATGATGAAATGAACTTTGGATTAGACAATACAACATCAAAGGTCTCCATGCAGGAACAAAATGAAATGAAGGTTATGATTCTTACTTCTTTTAGTAGGGCAGACTCAAAATCAGAATCATCAAGCTTAACTTTATAGCTCGCTTTGTCTGGAGGAGTACCCCGGAAATCATCCATGAATCCATGATGGCATTTTTCTTGCCTTGTGTACGGGAACAAGCCGGCAGCCCTGGAACTGGCTCTGCTTCTGCACAACTGTGTACTACGCAGAAATGAAGGTTTTCTGAGAAAGTAGCCAACAATTTTACAGATTAAATTAGTATCTGTGACTTCTAGTAGAAATGATTGAGACGTACTGCAGGATCATGGTTCAGCTAGACTCTTTTACAGTAGAAATCAACCAAATAAAAATCGATGCGCAGACAGCACGCGATGTGTAGTGGCGTACCAGGTGGAGGATGGACCAGATTCACGAGCCTGTGTCGCTCGTCGCCGTGTAGCCGCTCACCGTCGCGACTACGGACCCCATCCCGTGGAAATCAGAGGGAGAGGGAGAGAAGGGCAGAGATGCCGAGTGAGATCCGGGGGTGTCGGTTCGCGGCAGGGCTGGGACTGCGGCGGCGGCGCGGGGTGCGGCGTCATTGGGGTGGAGGGCGGTGGCTGGGCGTGGGGCAACGACGTCTGGGCGTAGGCTAGCATCGTGGGATGCGGGCAGGGGCGGGGGCGCTGGGCGGAGTACGGTATTGAGGGAGGAGGTCGCGTGGAGGACGGGCATTCACCTAGGGCTGCGGGCTCGGCGAAGGCTCCGCAGTTCCCGATTGCACGCCGAGTAGAGGCGGCGGCGGTTGCCGGAGGCGGTCGGGCGGCTTGGTCTCCTGGTTTTCTTCTTCGTCGGCGGCACTACTCCGGGTTTAACATCGCGGCCTTGCGTGTCGGGGCCGAAACCGCCCACGCGCCGAGGTAGGGCGTGGAGGAGCCGGTGAGGGCGAGGGCGCAGGACGCCGCTCCGCCTCCGCCGAGGGGATGCTGCGCCGTTTCCGCAGGGATAGGCCGCGGGGCGAGCTGCGGAGGTAGGGGTCGTGCGCGCGTGAGCGGTTTCGGGTAGAGAGCGCGGCGCGGGCCGGGGCTGAGATTAGCGAGGCGATTAGCACGAGAGGATGAAGCGATTAGCGGTAATCAGACGATGACCTCCGGATCTTTTTAGCTGTAGATATAGATAGGGGTCACTTTTTGAAACGGTCGGAGAAATACTTCTTTATTGCTTTCAATTATTTTGGCGTCTCGGAAAACTCGAGGGTCGTAGCAACTAAATTTTAGGAACTAACGACTCGATCTTTTTTCAGTGCCTGAATAACCGTTCTATATAAATATAAAAGGTGGTGACCTACACATAATCGCACAAATCAATCTAGTACATTATTTTGCATCTATTATTTTCTCTCAACTCTAATTCTTGCTTCTTGTTCTTCGTTGTTGTCTTAGTCGTTGCAACAACGACTACAAGGTCCTAGGGGCGGTCAGGCCGACCTAGGACAGCCCATTGCCACCATTCTCCCTTATGAGCTCCCTCTCCGGAGCGTAAGGTGTCGGGTTTCAGAAGCTCTCATCGGTATGTCTTGCGTATCGCGCTCCCGACGAAACTCTCCTTGCGGTGTGTTTTAGGTATCGTGCTCGTCGGGGGCACACTGTCATCACCCCTCATAGTCCAGCCCACCCTAGTGAAGTCAAGGCCCGCAAGAGCTCACGCAAGAAGACCGCGTCCAGGAAACTGAGCGGCCCAGAATGGGCGTGTTGAGGCCTAGAGGGGTGAGGAGTAGAAATAGACAGAGTATTCTGGAATGGGCAAGCTGTAAACAATGTTAAATTTCTTTGTTTACATGCAACCTTCCTCACCAACGAGCTGCCGTCGTCGGGGACGAGATTCGCCTTACTCTCTCTCTCTCTCTCTCTCTCTAGCTACTAACAATCCTGGTATCAGAGACACCGATCTACGGTCGGAGATCTGGATTTGGCGTCGCATCAACACTTCACTCGCCTCCAGAGATCCCAGGGAGCGATGGAGCCCAACATCAAGTCGGCGTTCGAGCAGATCCTGTGTCACCTCGACTCCATCGACAAGCGGTACGGACGCATGGAGAGGGGCACCGCCGACAGCGAGTGCACGCGCGAGGAGCAGGTCACGGCCGTGGAGATCCTCGTCGACCAGCTAGGGAAGGCGATGGGCACTCAAGCCGCTTCTTCCTCTACGGCCGTCGTCCAGATCAAGGCGTAGGAGGAGCACGCTACCGCCTTCGACGACCGCCTCACCTCGCTGGAGAAGGTCTGCAACACCCAGTCCCATGCCGCCGTCCTCTTCGACATCCGAGAGTAGGACAACGAGCATAGGATTGCGGAGGCGGAGCTGCGGATGGGGGATCTGGAACCTATCCGCGTCTATGAGCTTTGAGACGAGCGCGACAAAAGGGTTTTGGCCCTGGAGTCTGTGGGGGGTATAACCCCAGGTACCCACGACAATGGACATGGCCCGCACCACCAGGGGAGGTCCAGCCCATAAGATCAAGGCCTACGGTGCTCAGCTCTGGTCGGCGTGCACCGCAAGGCAATCAGAAGACATCTTGACGATGAAGAAAGATCTGTTCGGATATGATAGATATCGTATTCCTTATAAAAACTTACCATATAGCCGAATAGATCTAGGCCTAAACCGACTTGTAACCCTACCCCTAGACTATATAAGGTGGGTAGGGACCCCCCTCGAATTTATCTTATATTTAATACAATACACCAAAGACATAGGATGTAGGGTATTACGTCGATCAGACGGCCTGACCCTGTCTAAATCGTTGTCTCTGTGCTTGTGTCACCATCCGGTTTCTATTACGCGCACCTTCACCGATTCATCTACTACCGTGGGCATACCCCTCGGTAGACTGCCGACCATATTTCATCGACAGTGGCGCGCCAAGTAGGGGGTGTCATATTGATTCCATGGCCAACCAGATGGTCAAATTCCCGAGATCCATGATCTTCCCTGAGCAAGGCCAGTCGTTCATGATTGGATCCATAACCTGGATTATCAACGTCAACGGCAATGGAGAGATCATGGAGGCAATGCAGGATAATCCTGCCCCGAACGTGTCGGCGCTGGCACCAAAAGCTCCAATCCCGGTTCCTCACCGAGTTAGGAGATCCATTGATTAGGATGATCTGATCGCATCTGTCGATCGGGTCACCAATGGCTTAGCCAAGTGCTTGTCTCTTGCGGAATCGGTTTTAAATCAATCTACCAATGGAGACATGACTCCTGCACTCCAAGGTCACCACTCCCCGCCACGACGAGAGAACATGTATCATCCGAGGTGGCAAGATGAAGATCTGGTGATCACGGCAACTCCGGACGAGTGTATCGTTCAACGCCGACCACTCCCCGCCCCGACGGATAACATGTCAAGGCCCTATTCTTTTGGGCTGGTGGGTGCGGATCCGATCTGTCAGGACACCCTGTACCATCTTTTCGCTGACCACACCCAGCGCAGCTACGTCAACAACATCTACTAGATCGACCTCCCTGAGGCCGACTAGCGTGCGCCAATGATAAACAAGGTGCAAATCCAGCAGCTTCTAGATGAAATGCTCCAAACAATCCTAGAGGAAAGCCCTGAGCCATATTCCAAGGGCTATACTAGCAGCCGCCCACCTTTCCCTCTAGGCTTTGGGAGAGATCTTTTCATGGTTAGCCACGATATCATTGCTGTCGATGGAGAGACCAGTGTCCAGCACCGTGAACGTGAAGCCAGGAATGCGGATCGCCAACGATGTCATAATGAAGAAGCAGAAAACACCGACCAAGCTGCCAGAGGTGACTCGGCGCCTCTCGCTCGTAATCTCCAACAA